AGGAACGCTTTCACGAAATCCAAGGGAGAACTAGAACACTATTCATGATTTAGAGGGATGCATCATCCTTATTGCTGGAGCTTATAACTATCCTCAGGGATCATGTTCATAAAATCTGATGGATTAAAGATTAGAGACTAAGGATAGGTATCTGTATTTTTCAGATGATGTGTTGCTAGTGTGATTCACAACCATAGGATTTCAGTCAAGCTGCACCTGGGTAGTGGCAAGGACAGCCATTCCACTTCTAATCAGCTCATCTAAATCTTTGGAAATCAGCTTCTAATTGTTTTTTTCTCCAAGCAGACTCTTCCTTGAAGGTAAAGTTTTGTTACAGGATGGAGTAGCTGTGTTTTCCTGTTCTTCCTTATTGTCATGTCCATAACAGAGGATTACTGCAGCACTGTGTTCCCAGACTGGGTAAAGAATCAGCTTTCAAATGTCAGAAAAATATAAGGAGAAAGGAAGAAACAAGGAGAAAAGATTATGCAAAGAAATCTGTAGCATCCTCAACTGGTCACCAAGTCATCAGAAAGATTCTGTCAAACCAAAGAATGCTTTTAACCACAGCCAGTATAAAGTGTTCATTGAATATATATATTGACAGTCAAGAGGTAGAGCAGATCTTCATACAAGTGATATGAAGATCCCTTGTATCTCTTAATACATGAGACATGGTTGCTTTATATGGAGGCTGACAGAGCTCTCAAAGGCTGGATTTTCAAGGGAGGAACTAATACTTTGGATGCAGAAGTGGGCTAACATGGCAGTTAAAGGCTCTATCTGATTTGAAATCACTGAAGTCACTTGACTGAAGATAGTTATTACAAAGGGGCTACTCTGGCAAACAAAATGTGCAGTCATGTCTGCAGCCTGGGTTTGATTTAGGCAAGGCTATGAAATGCAGAATGAGGTTCCAAGTTCATGCTTTGTGACCCTGCACCCTGGAATAAGGTTGATTAATAGGAGATTTCCTTTCTTCCAACATGTTGGAATCATTATACCACAGGGATATGACCTCTTGCTCAGATACTTTTACACATTCATATCCAGGCCCGCCTGGAAGGAACTCAGGGGTAGATTTTATTCATCTAACATAGTAGTTAAATCATGAACTTTGCTCCAGGCACCAAAGTAAGCTCCACCTTTGGCTTCTCTTTCATATTGAGTATTTCAACTAAATATTAATTTAAAACTTCTCTGTTCCCAGACAGAAGACGGATCTCCAAACTTACCAACTTTACTGCTGAGAAAGAGACACTCACCAATGCAAAACCTGGTCTGTCAACCCTAACAAATACACCCTGTTCAGCCAGAAAGACACTTAAATTACCTGAGCTGCTTTGTCTTCCCAGTTAGGTGCTGTTTGCTGTGGCAGGTAAGAGCAGCACTGCCCAGTCCTTGAGGTCATTCAGGACCTTGTATCCTCTGTCCTGAAATACGGAAGGGCTTCAAGGCACTCCTTCTTCTGACTACAGACACAAAAGTATCAATCAGTAAGCTACCAAACAGATTTTAGATGGGTAGGTGCAGGAGTGACACCTACGAGTATGGGGAGATGCAGTCCAGTTGCAGAAGGACATTAAAAGGACTCCAAGTCACTTACAGGGTGTTGCGACAATAACTGCATACAGTCTGTGCTGCCCAAGTAAGAACTGAGAAAACTCCATACTGGAAGCATCCTCAGTGACACACCATGCTCTCTTGTTTAAAGGAGACTCTGCTTATTTGTTTCTTTTTTGGCTGTTTATAACTTTTTTTATTAGGTTTTTTTTAACATTATATTTTAGTATCAGATTATCAGAGAAACTGGGACCGCTGCCATTCACCCTGTCAGAGACAGTGAGTGAGCACAGCTCCAAAGGTATCAGCTCACACTTATAGGCTTGGTTTTCTCTACATTTATCTGATGTACTTCACTTCTGTTGCCTAAATCACATTCTAAGGATATTTTAGCTTGCTGCAATCCATAAGAATGATGTGGGGAACCAGTGATAATTTTATTCATGTAGGCAGTTTGGCTGTGAAGAAGATACTGTATCATTCATAGGTTGAATTCAGTTTGCTACAGAAATGGCCAAATAGTTAATAATTCCTGTGAAAGGGAATGTCCTGAAAGGCTGGTCTTATATTACTTCTCTTCTCATACAGATCTCTTCTGGCCCTTTCTCAAAGCGAGTTTCAAACCTGGGGTGATAGGAAAACCTCAACAAAAGCTTTACCCTACCTAGAACTGTACTGACCGCTGGCCTAAGAGAGGAGAAGGGGTCCTCTTGGGAGCAGAGATGAAGCAGGAGAGGAGAAAGGTCCCTTTTTGTTCTTGAGGTCTGTGATGCCTCTCTCAGGGCTGTGAATGAGCTAGAAGTGGCAGGATCTCATTCCTTACATGAAGGAGATCTGAGCAGAAGCACTGCTTGACATGAATATTCTCACTCTTTCCAGAGTGAAGAGCTAAACTAACAACACTTAGTCTGGGCTACATTTTTTCAATGCAGTCAGCATTTCTGATCTTTTTCTGAAGTACTGTTGTTCAGGAAAGAGGTAGAGTTCAGCTAACTGGCAGCCTGAGGTTCAAATTGTCTCATACCCTACCCAGTGCTCAACAGGAGGAGCTCATGGAACAGGAGATACACAAAGTAGCATAGCTTAACATTCTGGAAGCAGAAAACCAAACAAAAGCGAGATGGAAAAAGTGCAGCATTCTAATGCTGCCCAGGAAACACAATTTAGTAAAGCTGCCCTACTGTTGAAACCATGAAGGGGAAGCAAACAAACGAAGTCAGATCACCTGTAGGCAGAGCTCTTCACATTAACCCTCACGGTATGAAACTTCCAACACAGTGCAGATGCGAGGAATCTTGTTAGCACTGACCAAGGAGTGCTGCTTCTTCTTCCCTTCATTTGTCCTGAGGGACAGAGGGTTTATTCCCAAAAAATCTGCTGCTCCAGTGTGTACAATCCCCTAACTAGTTTTTAACACTACAGAAGAGGCCAGCTGGACTCTGTGGATCTGCACAGCCATCTCAGAGACAGATACTACATTCGTCCACATTTTATTGAATGTATGCTTTACATTATCACAGAGGGACAATTAACATTTGACAGTCAAGACAAAAAGTTAAAAGTGCCCTAAAAAGGTGATCATCTTGTCGGAACAGCTGGTCAAGACAGTTACGCTTCCAAGATGTGTAGGTCTCTGAACTGCCTTCCTATGATTTCAATAATTAGAGAAAACCTTGGATAACCATGAAAGATATTTTAACCTCAACAGAGAAGGAACTAATCTTGTCAGTGAGAGGGACAAGTGCTTCCTGATACTAGCTGAACACAGCTGAACAGCATCTGATTTGTAAGAGACCAATATTTTTTTAACTCCTTTTATCTCTTGAGAAACAAAATAATGAAGGAATGAAGGGAACATCCAAACACTTCATTTTAGTTAAAATCGCAGCATATAATTTGGTCTGATCAACACAATTATGAAGGCCAAGGGAAGGTCCAACAAAACTGATTAATTACTATGAAAATTAGAAATCAATTTATGTGAGCGTTGCAGATAAAAGCATCTTATTAGTTTATCTTACTGAGAAACCATCAACAGCACATCAGACAGCAGCACTGTGGTTCATCCACCTACACAAAATCACTCAGACGGCCCGTTTATCTGCTCCATAGAAAAGGAACTTACACAGTGGCTCAAAACACAGTTCATTTTCATCAGTCAAATAAGCTATAAAAGGGTCACAAAATGGTGACTTATTCACTGGTCAGCAGGCATTATTAAGCTCTGTCATTATTTTACCACAATGTGAGTGAATTCCTAATCTTTGAAGATATGATATGCCAATACAGCCAAACAATGAAATGTTACTGATGCTGCTGTTAATCAGAGAACATGAGATGAAAAAGTGTAAAGGGGAGGTTATAGCATTTTATAACAATAACCACTTTTCTTCCTTTGACCAACGTAAGAATTAGCGTGTCAGTAAATTCTTTATACTTTGAAAGAACAAGATTTCAGAGTCCTTAAAATCAGACTGTAGGAAAGTAAGCCGGAGGTCTTTACTCAAAACTGATGTGTCAGTAAATCCAGGAACTAAAGGAGAATTTGAAAGTCTCCTCTGGAGACCCAAAACAGGTTTAGAAGTTAGTCAAAATTTGAGACAGCAAAGTTATATTTGTCTATCTAACTATATATTTTATTTCAACAAAAATGGAATGCAAAAACTTACAGACATTTCATACTTGGTTGAGAAACAGGAATTACATGTCTAAATCTGAACTGAGAAAAGATAATGTAATGCATTTGTACTCAAACAGCATTAATGTGCTATTAGTGTTGGTTTTGCTCAGTGATGTACAAATGGTTGTTCTTCATCAGTAATTTGGTATTTTAGAGGTAGTTCTCACACTGGCTTTCACTTAGCCCCAGAACTTCAAGTCTTCATGTCGAAACAATACTGATGCTTGTTATACCCAAACCAAAAGATTTCCTTCCTTTGCCAATAGTCCATTTGAGGCAGATTTTGACATTATAGCTTTGAGAGAAGTACAGTCACGGAAAATACTGTCTTCGATGTCTGAACAAAGATGAATCAAATGTTTTTAAAATGCACTGAAAGATCTGAAAGAAGATTTAGTAATTCTTACTCATTCCAATTTCCAGTTTTAAAGCTCAATAAATCTCTGCAAATATCTTCCTTCAACACTATCTGAGGCCTTGATAATTTCAATTCTGGATCATGTCCAAGAGATATTACAGACCAATACTTTGCTATGACCCTCAACTGAAAAAAGCCTGGGACGTGTTCCTTTCCTTTACTGCAATAAAATCTCCAAAATATCTACAAGACTCACTCTACAGACTATGTTTTATCAGAACACATAAGCAAAGCTTGAACACCTTCAGCATGCATGTACCTGTCTAGGCTCCCACATCAACCTGGTGTATTCAGTTCTGCATAGGCTACATGCCTTCTTCCTCCCAGGGCCTGTTTTAATTTCTGCCACCTCTAAGGTACAGCATTGGATCTAGTCCCTGATGCAGGCAGATATCCCTATTTCCCCAGGCATTATCCAGACTGTGGCAGTCCTTGTTTTTCCTCTTGTTCCCTGACACTTCTGGGTCAACAGGACTTTATACAAACTAAGCAGGGACAGCTTCTCTAAGGGGAAGACTAAACTTCCTCTCTTCAGGTCCACTGAGGCCGAGAGAGCAGCAACCAGAATAAAAACCTTCTTTTCTGCAAGAAGTAACAAAAAACTCCTAAATACTTCTGTCTTTTCACAGTTGGTCAATTTTCTCTCCTTATTCAGGACCACTTAAGTGACAATGCTCTTCTCTAACAATGTACAGGTTATGTCCTTGCTACATAATAATGTACAACCCCAAAGCTTCCCATTACATAAAGAAAAGTCTCTCTAAACTAAATGTTTATTTCTCAGTGGTCCTTGACAAGATAACAACTGTTATCATGAGGCTTTTGACAATACTAATTCAGTATAGCTAGTAAAAAAAGAAAAGGCAACCATTGCTAAAGAAATCATAAATCTCTTCAGCCATCTGCAAACAAGGATAAGCACTAAATAATTTTTACTGAATTCTTGCAATCTTAGGCTTTTTCTTTCATTTCAACATTATTTTATAATTTTCAAATATTTATACTAAAGCTAGTATTAAAATCTGGTTTTTTTGTTATCCCACACGTGGCTTTGATCTTGACCAACTTTGCACCAAGGCTGACACTTATGGGTTAGTTTAAAATACTAGATGTAGTTATACAACTGGCTAGTTTCCATAGTTAACTCTGGTTTACTTTGTTTCCCCTGTTTTCTTCCCACTCTTCCAGTCTTTAACATCTTTCTCTCACTTTGCTTAATGTTTTCCTTGTCTATATACTTTTGTCATGTTTTCCAGTGTTCCTCCTTTCTTCCTCATAGTTTTCCAACTCCCAAATTCCATTCTTGGGAATATCTATTTCTCTGTCCTCTCTTTCCTTTTTCCTGCACCCCATTTCTTCCTACTGTGTCTTTGACTTCTTTTTTTCAGATGTGCCTGCTGATTTGTCCAATGCCTTCTGCACTCCAAAATGGTCCAGGTCCTGCTCTGGGATTTATCAGTCACTGCCTATACTCACAAATGTAACTTAAACCGCTCTCTCACATCATATAACGGCTTAGGATGTCCTGTATTCACAAATGAAAGTCTACAACTCACTTCAGACTTGACTTCCAGAACAGAAACTCCGAGAAAAGGCTCTAGAGCAGTGTCCTAGCACAAGCCATACTGTCCCACAGGACCAGTAGAGAAGCCATAACTTTTGTGCCACGAAGAAAGGGACTTTCCTAACTGTCCTAACTACAAAGCACTGCTAATGTTTGCAGGCAGAGGGAATGGTGGGGATGTGCTCACTTGCAGACCCACACCAGTCTATGCAGCATGAGATGAACGAGCTGGCAAGCTGTTGTTGAACAGGCAGATAGAGGATGTGATGTCTGCAGGTGATCTTCTGTATCTCCAGAAGATATGGCCCATTTGCCAGTCGCTTAAGACAAGATGTGATTTCGGCAGGTAATATTCTGCTGTGCAACAGTGACTCATTTCTTCTTTCCATCAGGGTAATAGTGTTACCATACCAGAGGGGTAGAATACCATTTGGTATTTCAGTTAAGAACCATGACAAGTGTGTTTTTTGTCTTCAGTGCCCTTTACTCACACATAGGCTGTTAAAGACCTTACCTTCTAAATCTATTAACTCTCAGCTTAGACAATGTGTGCAAACCTCACAGTATTCTAGAGGTGACAGCACAATTCCTAACAAAGCAACAAAAAGGCACAAAACGACCCTCCAAAAGCAAAAAACCTAAAAATCTGGTACAGGAGGACCTAAACACAGGTATTCAAAACATACATTTTGGTTATACTTACAGCTACTGTCACGAGCAAACAAACCTAAAAAGGAAACTGTCTGGCTGGGTATCAACCATCACTGTTATAGGCATGAGGAAGAAAAAAGTCTTGTTCAGGGAATCCCTTAAGGAAAAAAAAAAGACAAGCCTAATGCCAAAGTTTTTTACTTCCTCTCACCTTCTATCAGCCCAGAGCCCAGAGCTGTATACTGTGCCCACTATCAAGGTGGAGCAATGAAGTTGCCTGTCAACAAATGGCAACAAACAAGAATTAAGACAACTTTTACCCTTCTCATGCTGCTCATGAATCATCCCAAAAAATGGAAGAAAATATGGCCTTTAATCACTGTACTTCATTTTTTCCTGTTCAATGTAAAAACAGTGGTAAAAACAGCATGAGAAAGGATCAATATAGAGCTTTCTGAAATCTGACTGCCAGACTATTTAGTGTTGTTACCTACTCTGAGATTTTTCCCCTCAGTTATAAACCACACTACTTAGATTCATTAGTGTAAATGCAGTTCTAAGAAGACATATTTATTCTCAGTGCCAAGAGTAAACCCTGAAATCAGAGACACTGTTGATTATTTAAAAGGAAAAAACCCCATCAAACTGAGAAATAACAAAAATAATGAAATGAAGTTACAACAGCCCAAAATAAACCAATTAAGTTTTACATTTTGAATTTATTTTGACAAATCTGCAGCAAGCATTATCAACTGTGTGAATAACATTTAAAAAGAATAGATATTTTAGATATTTGATTGGCGGTGTATTTTCTTACAGCTTCTATATTTCTTTTATGTCTAAAAAATAGATTTTACTCCTGGTCCCTCACTAGTATGTAAATTTCTACCAGAATTAAGTAACCCATAGAAAAGGATGGAAGAAAAAATTAAATTTCTGAAGCATATAGTATTCTGTTTTGGTTTGGGTTTGTTGGTTTTTGTTTTGTTTTTTTTCCACTGCAGGTAAAGCCATTTTTCACAATTGCTCAGCAAACAAGAGAAAGTCCATTAGAATCTTCACACTTTTAACAAAGACTCTTGGCTAACAGTACTGGTCTAAAAAGTAGATAAGCCATATAATTTTACAAGAAGCAACCCACTGAATCCTTCAGCAAACACAGCTTGGCAATCTATCTTCAATTCAAAATAATGAGGTGGCAGGAGTGTGATGGAGAAATAAGTCTTCAAAAACATCACGTAAGGGAATCCAGCTGTGCTTGTATAGTTTCCAGCTATTTAAAGGAACAAAAAGAGAGGAAAAAAACTCCACTCATAAAATGTTGTTTAGAAACATGCAAACAGAAATAAAACCACATTCCAGTATCTTCAACTATGCATACCAAATCTATTTGCATAGCAACATAAAAACTCTGTACTCATGAATATTTGTTTTTACATGAAGCTATTACAATTCATTGCTTCAGTTTAAATATTCAAATTTTAAAAGAAACAGTTGTCTAAATACTTCCTCTTTTACATGCACAGATGTTTTGCTGTGAATTTCCAATGCATAATAACAAGGTAAAAAAATAATAGAGTTCATTTTGACTGGATTACAAGCCTGGCATTTCAACTGAAGATGTAACACAAAGATGCTGTTTCCAGAGAGATCCCCATTGTTAATCATCAGCTACTCCTCCTGATCTAACTGCAAGTTATGCTTACAACAACCCAAGCCCTGTCTATTCCAAATCTGAATGCGCAGGCTCTTTTTGAAAATGCTTTATGTGATCAAACAAATCCAACAGCCTTAATTTAAGATGGATCCATTTTTTTCTAGTTTTATTAGATTTAATTCATACAGGCAACACTTCCTGCTGAGCAGCATAAGGTGTTTACAAAGAAACTATAGTATCGTAAAATCTACAGACCTTGTTATAGAACTCAAACAGCTCCTGATGGCTAAATTCTACAAACACTTTCTTCAGGTTCTGTAACGAAAAAAGAAGGAAGGAATAAGCATATTTTTTCATTTCTTTTTTGCATTAATTCCAGTAAATCAGAGTATGAGATTAAGCTACATGAATGATGTTTGCATTCAATATGATGGCCCTCATAAATGTATATTCCATTTCAGTGAAGAATTCAAGTCTCCTGGTACATCCTGTGAAGAATAGTAATAAAGTAATCTATGAAAAGGATTTTAGTTACCTTTTAAGTCAAACAAAAATGAAAGATTACATTTGCCTTCCTTAGTAGTCCATCTAAGACTTGGTAAATACCATTACACAGTGACAAAGTTAGTAGTGTATTTGGTTGAACTGGCACAGCTATTAATGTACTGCACCAGCACAGACCTGATACTTCTATTCATTAATCTAACAGTTCCCATCTGAGCATGCTGATACTGTTTAGGCATCTCTGCACAAATTCAGCCCAAGTTAACAATTTAAGACAACAGCTTCAAAGCAGTGCTTAAACACTAAAAAAAACCACAAAATAACACAACTGATGAATATGTGGATAAAACAGATGTGGTAATAATCCTCTGCACGCATATGCTGATGTTTGTGGAGATGGAGGTTAAATTATAACTTCTGTCCTGCTTAACTTGCTGGCAGTAACAGGAAGTTTAATGCCTGCTACCTTCAATCACAGTGCAGACATATCCAGACAGTTTCTAGCTTTATTCCTAGTACTTCACTTTGTGACTTTATTCCTTTAAAAATAAATTTCTATTTCTGCACATTCTCTTTGTTGTTGCTAGACTTTTGAAGGCTTGGAGGTATTCCTGAACATAACAGTTGCACTTCCATGAACGCTAATAAGGCTCTGTGAAAGCTGAGTCTGTGGACACCCCTACTCACAAAACATTACCAGCTGAAATAACATACACACACTACTTTGGTTTAACTGGTACCAACTTCACATACCACTCAGGTCAGTGCAAAAACGCTTGTTTATCAATTCAGCTTAAATGAGCAAGGATACTTTCACATACAGACAAGGCCAGTTTCTGTGTACTCATAGCAGTGCAAGTCTCAAGTTATGCCAAACAATGTCACTGAATTTGGCGCACCAAATGCACAAGACCCATAGAAGCCCTGGGAACACAGTATAGGTACTGCCTGGTGTCTGCTCCTCAAAAGGAGCTGTAAGAGACACAGGAAAGGGATAAAATGACTGGGGCCAGTCTGTCTGGTGCAATTCCTCCTTCTTGCTCTGCAGAAAGAAGGATCCCTTCCAACAATTTCGGGAAGGGTACAAAAGCCTAGAAAAGCACCAGTGATTTGCATGAGAGACCAATCTTTTCCCTCTGGGAAGGAACAATGCAATTCTGTGAATCGTACGGTGAATACAAAATAAAACTACCAGGACAGCAGTTCTCTTTGCCATGACTCCAGCTGGTCCTCCCTCCAAAGAGCATAATGCCGTGACAGGGAAGTAAAAGCATTTTTAAAGGCTTTCTAACAGCTAAGAAACAAAAAGAAAGCAAACAAGGGGTTTCTTCAGGAAAGAAAGTGGGTAGAGGAAAGAAGGAAGATACACTAATAGCAAAGGGATCTACCATTTCAGCCAGGATGTTTGTTTGGCATTTGCCTTTCTAGAAGGGGTTTGGTGCTTGAATGGAAGGAAGCAAAACTGCAGAGAGGCGATTCAGAACAAAAGGCAGATATCATATATCTTAAAAGCTTATCAGTCACAATTAATAGGGTCATCTCTTGCATGCTTTCTGGTAGAAGAGTCTGCTGGATTTTGATGTGACAGTTTAGCAATGCCTCCAGAGAGGGGTAGAGGAAGACCTCTGACTACAAGATATTTCTCCGAGCTCTTTGTTTCATTCAAGACAGGCATCTTCTGGTACTACTTTTGATCAGGAAGCACAATCAGCTTCTCTCGCTCTCTCACACACACACAAAAAAAAGAAATTGAAAAGCTCGTCTGTCATATTTTCTTCTAACTACATTGATTAGTGTTAGTTAAAACATAGGGTATGCAAACAAAAAGAAGTGTGGACATTTAAATTCAGATTCTTTGTACTAAAAAAAAAATTCACTATGTTTTATGAATAGGATGAGATCTCTTTCCCCATTATTATTTAATAATTGTAGTCTGATAACTAAGATAAAATCTATCTTGTATTCTGGCAGGCAAATGTCTGTGGAGAGCTAAAAGAAAGCATGCCATGCCACGCTATGTTTCTAACCTGGGGTGGGAAGGGAAGTATCAATGGGAGAGAGGATATAAGAATCTTGTACAAAATCTGTTGGCTATCTGCACTTAATCATCTGCTAAAACACAATTGTTTTTATGTGTAAAAACCCGGTACACCTACTATGTCAATTCAGCAGACAGCAGTGTCACAAAAAAAACCCCATGAAGAAGTGTGGCATCAATTAAAAATGTCATTTTTAAAATATTACATTTCTCACTAGCATGAGTCCCTTAGAAGAAATGTGACAAATTATCGTTGGTATGTGGTCAGAAGTCCTATATAGACTATAAAAACATCATAACTAGCTCCCTACAAGAAAAAGCTATGTCTCAGCAGGGTGACAGCCCCCCATTTTCAGCTGAGACATCCATTATTCAATTACTTGCTTTATTCTGTGTGAACATAAACAACTGTAATTAAAACTATGTGCCACAGGACTAGGTTACCATTCAGTTCTTAAATTACTCAGTAAAATAGTCTTAAAAACTACTGTATAGATAGAATATTGCTAAATACTTCCAAGCAGGCAAATTCCTAATTTACTTGATGGAATCTTGTTCAGATAAGTATACAAAATTACAAATCCCAATAATATTTCAACTGCAACTAAAACATAGGATAGAAAAAAATCACTTTCAGCTTACTTACTTAATTAAATGTCACTGTGTGCAGACAGAGTCTCAACCTATTTATGAAAAATGCAGCTAAGTTGACTTCTTTTATCTGCACATACAGGTTTTCAGATGTTGCCTCTGACCTAGTACACATTTCCCAGACATAAATAAGAAAACAGCAATTTGCTCCATGTCTAACTTCTTTCTTCTTTTTATCAAGTGTATCATTCTCTTTTCCTTTTTCCTGATAAATTTCTTCCCATTCTTCACCTTCACACTACTCTTTCTCTCATTTCTGGCATCTCATTTTCTCTTTGCTGTCATTATCTTCATGTGAAAGAAAACTAGATCGAGTAACCAGAAAACTAAACTGAGTTCATTCCCATTGTCACACTCTGTAACTCCAAAGTTTTTTCTAATTACATCCCAAATTCTGTCACTGTGGCAATGTAAATCCTAGCTCCTACTTTTAAGAATTTTAGCCTTAAAAGGATGACAGCTTCATAGTGTCAGAGAAACACAGCTGAAGCTGTTATTCTTATGAAAACAAAGAAATCTCTAAAGTACCAAATGTCCATTCTTTGGGCTGCTTTGAAAACACGGAGACAGGTTTTTTGTCTAATACAATACCCGTGAACGGTGGCAGGGACTGCACTGGAGCGATACACTCAGTGAGCACAGCTAAAGGGTATGTGCAACATCTTCAGCTAAATAAAGTTGCTGTTCAGTTCAATGTGTTCGTCTTCTGTAAAACATGACAAAGCATTGCATTCACTACTGGAAAGGTCTGTGTGAATTGCAGGTGTCATCCAAGACAAATCTTTACATCGCTCTGAATCGATTGCAAGGAATATGGTAATAAGTTTTCTGAAATGTATGGTTTAACATATTTGGCCATCACACGGATCACTAGTGAATGTATTTTAAGTATTAACATTAAATTTTAGTGCCATTTTGCCTTTATACATCTAGATGAAATCTGATTTCATCCCACCTCTTCTCTCACCCCAGGGCTGTATCAATTTACAATTTACAGCCTCCTGAGAGCTGTGAAATTCTAATAAGTTTAACTGATAGGGTTCTTTTCTCCTCTTAACTATCTTCTCACTTGCTGTTTGGTATCATTTTAAAAACATAACATCTTCATCAGACTCTAAAACCAAATTTCCTTTGGGATGTGGGAGGGGGGCAGGGAAGAGGAGGGAGAAATGAAAGGAAAATGAAGATAAAACCTTTGTGTTTCCAGTCAATATTAATATGCTAACCTATAAAAAATAGCCATTCTGAATGTACAGCTAATTCTACAAAATAGCCACAGTCATTTAATATACACTTAGCTTACAACCACCAACAAACAATTAGGTAAATTGCTAGCTGAACATGATCATCAGCATAAAATGATCAAGATGGAAGTATACAAGCTGCATAAGAGTCTCCAATTTCCCATTGCCTCAGCTAACTATTTCAAATATGAATATCTTCTTGCTGCAAAATGTTTCTGTGGAAACAAAAAATGTCTCCTCAAAATATTTCAGAAAGCAGAGGCAAATTCCTGCTTATAATCAAAGGATTCAGTATTGCTTTTGGGGCTTTGTTTGCTTATTTTTGTTTTGTTTCATTTTATGGTGGGGATATTTGTTTGTTTGTTGGTTGTTGCTTTTTTTTTTTTTTTAATACAATGTTCTAGATGTTTCTATTTTCACGTACTACTGCAAAAAGCTTCATTACTAATGACGGAGTTTTGCAACCTTGCATACTACACAGCTATATTCCACACATTTAACTCCCCCAACCCAAGCATAAGGATAAAGTAATGCCCTAGAAGTTATAAATAAAAGGTAAACTTCTGGGTGTAAAGCTAACTTGAATATGAAAAACTGATATTGCTGTAATAGTTTTCAACTGCAAAGCTGTAACTACTTCAATGATGTTGCAAAATAAATGCCAAGGATTCTGAAGCAAACAGGTGGAGGGACAGGCTGGCTTGTACATCTAAATGTCTATCAATAATGATAATATTCTATGACTGAGGACATGTAAAAAATCACAGTATATTCAGAGAAGTTTGTTAATAATAACTAAGTGAAGTAACACATATCCCAATCTTCATATTGTAATCATTCATGGCGAGGCTTCGCGAACGAAGATTTGGGAAGGCTCT